TGAGTGTTTAAACGTTTATGGCGGATTTATCTGCCATTCGAGTCCAGTACTGCGCCAGGTTGGAACCAATAATACTGCCGAAGCGCTTCTGGTAATTCTTTGATAAGATAAGCACTCTTTTGGAGCCCTGGAGCTCAGAGTCTGGCAATAGCTAACCTCTGGCTTTTTAGAGTACCCACTCGGGCTATTATATTCTGTAGAACTTACACAAAGTTGATTTGTCGCGATTTTGGCGAGAAATAGCTCACGGCCGACCATGATCGCCGGCCTGACTCGACTCAGAGAGTCGCATCAAGTTCTTCAAATGACGACAGCCACCTACCGGCACTCTATCCTGAAATGCCAGCAATCGCTGTTACTAGAGCACTTAAAATTATATTATTTCTCTATTCGTCTGCTTCGAGGTTAACGTTAATTTTGTGCAACGTTGGAGGCAGCAGTAGGGCCGCGAGCGGATGCGGTGGCACCATCCGCCGAGGTAATAAAGCCTGACAGATTACCGGAAGGAATAGCGCCACGTAGACCTTGATAGAACAATTCAAGTGGGAGCCCTGAGTGTTTCAAGCTCCGCCGTTACGCTCATCGTCCGCCGTGCAGTAAGTTAGACATTTCCACATCAACATAAAGTCGTGTACTAGTAGGCCGCGTGCATGCCGGTAAACTACGACTCTCTGATGCGTAATAAATCTGAGAGCCAAGAGTTTCGAGCCAAACGCGTCATCTCCAAAACACGCCCCATATTCACAAACAGTTTACCAGCCCGTCTCATTCTTAGAAGATGGTATCCGCCCAAGCACCACCGTAGAACACTGCGAAATTGCGAGAATTGAGTCACATCACGAGCGATAGAGACAAGAGACTTACAGAAGTCCAACGTGGACTTGACCTGAAGATCGGTTCCCGGAGTGCACGTCTAGGGATGAAGAGTCAGCCGCTGTCAGAACTAAGATAACCCTCGCAGGCGTTCACGTACGGTGTTCGGGGCCTGACCACCGTTAGAGTTGATCCTGAACACCTGGTCCGCCAGCTGTCCAGCCTTCTTCCCGTTGATCACAAGCACAGGCTCAACAAGCCAGTTCGAGTTGACCGAAGGGTCGTTCGGAGCGGGGACGTTGGCCGACTCGCCGGCGACCAAGTACGCATTCGCCTTGTTGGTGTCATTCTCCATCCGCTCGGACTGGCTGAAGTCCCACTTGGCGTAGATATTACCGCTCGTCGCATTGACCGGATCAGGGATCCAGTAGTGGATACCATACCCGACGCCCGGGTTGACCTGCTCGGTCAGGGCGACGATATCAGCGGCGGTCACAGTGGGCGGGGCAGCATCCCAGAGTGCGGCGATGAACGACGTGAACGGCTGGTGGTGATCCAGCGGCAAGCAGGAGATGTCGTAGAGGTAGGTGATCGCGCCGCTACCACTATGGAATGCAGCATGTCAGCCAGGTCCAACAGCAGTAGATGTGGAAATAGACGTACGTCCAGGCGCCGTCATCTCCGCAGGTGTAGTTCTGAGTGCCGACGGACAGCGCAGTGTAGGTCGGGTAGGTCGTGATTGGCGAGGGCGGGAAAGGCTCGCCACCGTTGTCGTTGATGTCGGCGGGTATGACGGTCTCGACCAAGAATGCGGTGGTAGAGCAGATGGATCCGCCGGTGGGACGGTTGGCGGGTGGGGTATTGGCCCTAGCCTTTGGAACGTAGAAGGCATTGGCTACAGCGAGGAGCGAAAGAGCAGAGAGCAGCTTTGCGAAGGCGTACATGGCTGAGTCTGCTGTGAAGTTACTTAGGAGAGGGTGTCTAGAGCACTGAAGAATCTCATTGACCTGCCATAGCTTTTATACCTCAGCGACGATCAGTGAGTGCGCACCCATTCTCGCGTAACTTCATACTGCAACTCACAAATTTGGCGACCTCGAATTTCAGCTCACAAGCGCGAGTGCCACCGGTCCGTTCCCGTACGGCAACTACATGAAACGTTGAAAGTGGCGGAGACAGGTGGGCACAGGGAAATAGTGGCGGGCAATCTCGCCTACCGATGATGCGCAAGAGGTTTGCCAATGCATTGCCTATGGCCCACTTGTTGTCGGATCACTTTCCATTTGAATGGGCAAGCACCAACATCCACCCGGTGCGCCCTCTAGGAATCCCGGATTCGGCTATGCGCTGATATTGGCAACCGTCGACTTTGTCGTAACGACGTTCCAGAAAAAACAGAGGGAGAGAAGAAGGGCTTACTCGGGATGACCTCAACCCGTGTAAAGTGTTGTGCTGTTAGCAGGCGTCCTGGACTCAGATTTAATGCCAGCATTGGCTGACCGTCCAAGTAGTCATCCATAGCGCTTATTCGCCAGTAACTTCGTAGCCTTGTGCACGACAGAAGAGTATCGGCGTGCAACTTAACGCTAACTTTCGCATGAAAGAGGTGAGCGCTAGCGCCGATAGCAATATTTTGTTCTTACCACCATCAATTCCCAGGGCAGCGAGTTTGGGCGGGGCAGCGAGTTTGGGTGGGGCACCGCTCCGGCACAGCATCCTAGTTAGAGGCATCAGTTGGCCCATCAGACTTCAAAGAAAAACAATGTCGCCATCAGCCGAACATAGCCGTCGGCCCCACCGCATTTTCCTAGGCTTAGTCACCCCCGTGTTCGGCCCCAGAGCTTCGTTAGCGACCAGCAACGGAAGCTACCACAGATCAATGGGCCGCTAGTCACGGGCGGTGTGTCGGTGCTGCTATTGGGATTGGAACATGCTTCTGGACTCGTAGAATATCAGTCAAATTTCGCAATTTGCCCCAACGTATCACCGTTTCTGGGGAAGAGTGAGAGAGAAAACCGGCGTCGTGGTAATCTCCAGGGAGCTCGAGAAGAACGGTACTAACTGTATGGGGCGCATGACGTGACAGCTGTGCGGTTTGAATGAGAGCACGCGCAGCTTAGTAAATGGACCTCGTTAATCGCGGACGGCGAGTCGGGCCAGAG